ATGCACTACTGATGAGTTCTAATAAGAGCGAAACTCGAGTCTAGTGCTTCCGAGTGTATGATTGAATCGATGAGATGAGGATTGTGCGTAAAGGTGAAGTCCGAAGGATAGTCAATCAATCAATATACATAGAAAGAAAGACGACTCCAAATGTATGAAAATTTGCGGTCACACAGCACAAGGGCCATTTTTTGAGGGGAAATCGCCTCGGCCGCGATCAATCAAGGATAAAGCAAAATATTTGACGACTTGTACTTGTTCAGTATTTTTCGAAGTTGTCACTGCATAGTTAGTGTTGAAATAACTAATCCACACCTGATTTATTCTACTCAATCAGTTATTTCGGTCAAATCACGCAATCGTCTACATGTTTCACCTACTGGCGAGTAACGGCAAGAACTGATATTTTATTTAGATAATGTCATCACCACGGGAAGAGATTTCGTGTTAATGAGACTTTCTGTAAGCCAGTACACGCTGTTCCTCCACTTGCTACGACTTTCCCCCTATGGCACTGTGAAACCGGAGAATGTGATAAAGAGACTATTGTCTTGAAGGCGTCACATGCCTTTCGTCTGGATTACGACTAACACTCATTCATTGGTGATCATCTGATGGATCTTATCAAATCATCAAAACATGCGAGAAATTAAAACAAAGACCAGGGAATTGTTGAATTGCAGTTACAATTAAAGCGCCTCTTTAATTTTCTCTTTTTTTATACTTGTAAAAGAAAGTTTCTTATTCAGCGGTACACTAAATTTTTATACATATCCTAATGCTTTTGAGTCTCGTTTTATGAAAAATTAACCTTTCGTTTTTCTCATTACCGAAATCAGACAGAACAGACCAAGTGTTCTAGACTCTGGTTATCACTTTATATACATTGGAAAATTACTTACTCCACTAACTCCTAGAGCATCAAAACAGACCCGAACCAGACCTTTCTCGTTGATCACATTATCAAAGTCGGACGAGGCATGAGCATCCGGACAGGATGCCTCACCAAAGGGACATGTTTTGTGCAGATAGTAGGACATGCAAACCGGCCAGCGACACCAATCTAAATTGTCCGGTGGATCCGTCGGAATTTTAACTGCATCACCAAACAGGGGATTGCCTCTTCGTGGATGTGTAGGCGATGTGCCCACAGAAGTCATCATGACAACCCGATGGTTCTTGAGATTGTTGTTTTCTTTATTTGCGCTACTGGCATTTTCCACGGGTTGGTCATAAACTGATGGAGAGCTGGAAGCTGCCGACTCAGATGGAGTTTGACGTGTTGGCAATTCAAATCTTGGTGTTGTTGGGACCCGATTGGTGCTAGTGGAGGGAGAAGGAGGCGAACGATTGGCGGCAGGTACCGAATCTGTCGAATTCTGCTGTTCAGAGCTGTCCACATGGATCTGTTTATCCTGAATTAAATATAAGTACAAATATTCAGGCTTACAAATTTGTCGATTAGAGATAGCAATCTGTGCATATAATAGATGTCTCAGAGGAACATTGCGTTCAAAACTGAGTCACTGTATTGCATTATTATTCGAATCTCAAAGTCGTGTATCAGCCGCTGCTTCAAGTACAGTAAATCACTCGACGCTCATCCGAGATATACTTATTTCGTCCGAATCGTCTAAGTCAAGCCAAGTCAAAGCCTAGAGTGCACTTTATTCATCCAATAGGGATCTAATTTCCAGTGAGAAAAAAATGATATCACTTTTGCTCTGGCATAAACACTATTAAAAATGAGTTTAACGATATGACAAATAGTTATACAGAGGATAGTAAAGAGGTCCGGAGAACGCGTAGCAAATGCGNNNNAATGCGGAAAACTGCAGCATGAAACTCTGAATAACGACATTTGATATTCGTCCTCTGAAAACCAACAAACGAGGAAGGTAAGGAACGACGAAATTGTGAAAATCTGTGGTACGATAATATAAAAGTTGTATAAAGGTGACAGAAGTTGAAATAGAGCGAGCGAGGGTTGAGTGTAAAGGATGTGATGCATCGGACAATATAGAGACACAGAGACGGTCAAATGCCTTAAGGTTTAGATTGCCAATTGAGTCAACTAGCACCTCGTAAGATACGGTTCCATATTTTGAGATGCTTTTCAGAGAGTGTCTGAT